GGGTGGGTTGAAATCAAATGGAAATAATTTTTCTCGTAAGCGAGTAGATCGAATCAACTGTAAAACGTAATACGCGATATGCATCGAAATTCGGTAGTTATGAGTTGACTCCACCCACGCGACATTTCTGGTTACCCTTAAGTGCGTAAACAAACGTATAAACAAGGAAAACGAAATAACACTTCTATTTGTCAAGAATGCACGTTACTCTTTCTTCCTTTCTTTCTTTCTTTCTCTCCCTCTCTCTCTCTCTCTCTCTAGTTTTAAAGGTTTCCGGATAAAATGTATCGAAGTTTATTCTTCGAAAAATAGTATAGAAACGCGCATAACAATTTATCGCTAAAGGCGTTGGGGTATATCGATCCGTAGGATAAATATATCATACGTGGGGTGTTGGGGGTGGGGGTGGGGGAGGGTTGACACCACCATTTTCACGTTTTACTGTAGTACCAGATGATCCTTGAAAATTTATCAAATTTCTATCCTTTAACCCTTAATCTCTCCCCCAACTATCTTTTATAATTAATTAATAAAAGAAATTTGACGCAAATAGCTATAACGAATGTGACCCCCTTTATAAACTAATTTGTTCGAGCAATTTTGTTGTTTTTTTTTTTTTTTATCTTTCTCATGAATCCTATATTAATTAGTCACTCTTTCGTAAATTCGATACACCTTCTATGCTAATAAGCGACCTTCGGATAACCAAGTAAACGCGTGCCTGCTCACGCGAAATATCTATAAATTCATACGCCGACAATTTCGGAGACGGAACATTCTCTTTCTCAACGAGGACATAAAATTACGAAGATTTCTTTAAGACACGGAGACAAAAAGAAAAGAAAAGAAAAGAACAAATTATAAATGATCTATACATCTTTCGAAGCAAATATTTTTCCAACAAAAAATCATTCCTCATGAAAGATCGCCATTCTCAATATATATATATCTCTCTCTCTCTCTCTCTATCTCTCTCGTTCTTACTTTTATTCGAGATATTCAAACGGATGATCTCCTATAGACTGACAAACATGATAACATTAATGTACTTTTACAAATTTACGATAGCTCGATTCATCGATGAAATAAAGGTCGAATTTTAACGGCAATACACTTAAGTGTTGTTCTCTTCCTTGGTAAAAGTTTTTCCTTTTTTCTTTTTTTTTTTACAAATAATTCTTTTCGCTAGATTATCAGACATGTTTATTGATTTATAACCATATTTACCTCTTTCAGTGGTACTTTAAACGGCAAAATCTTCGTACCCTTTACCACGTCTCCATACGGTTTGTACTCGAGCCATCTGTAATATACCATACAAATCAAATGTTAGACAAATTTATTTAATTCATTTATTTAAATATATATAAATTTAAATTTTATTAGCGCCATAACGTTAAAGTAATAATCAATTAAAATTTGTTTATACGTCCAAATGTATACCTAAAAATGTGATATTTTAAGCCAATTATTTTCTCGTGAAATTATTATTAATATACATCATCAAAAAATCTCACAATTTTTAGATAGAATTTTCGAAATTTGTATTCCACAAAATTTTTCTACAATCGCAATATACTTTTTAAATATTTGTTTTTTTTTTTTTTTTATTTTTAAATATAATAGATACATTCTTTCTATTATTACGATAACAACAATTGTGTTTTGTAAAAAGAAGATATATTTTATTTCTAATATCGATAAAATATCATTCGATTTAAAGTAAACAATGTTTCTTTTCCTTTTTTTTTTTTTTCTTTTTTATTTTGGTTTCTTTTCTTTTTCAACGATCTAAGCGCCTCTCAACGTAAAATTCTCAAACTACTTACTTATATTGAATTGAAAAAAAAGATTTTAATATTTGTGAACATAAAACCTAATCAAAATGTTGTCAAATGTCAAATAATTTCTTATGCTTGCAGGTAAAATGATCAAAAGAATCGAATTGTAATGAAAATATGAAAAAAATACATTCGTACACTTTTATCGGTCGATAATACAGTTAATTATCATGTATATGTGTCGCGTCAAGCAACACACACTTCCCCCTTTCGATAATACATCCACACACAAAAATATATTTTAATGATTACACGAGAATAATGAAATATTTCAAATTATCCGTTCAAGAATGTTAATAGCTAGATTATGTTAACGAGCATCGGATGCGCCGTGTGTCGCAGAACGTAGAATCACGACTTAACCTCAAAAACAATGTGACCTCCATTTCGTTGTCGTAAACAAGCACTTGTAGCTACCTCGACGTTATTTAACACTAATTCGATAAAGAAAAATAATTTAAGACTCACCCCTCGGGCACAGTTTTTCCCATAATTGCAATTATATTAAATATATCTTCACTTTAATTACAAAAGCACTATACCGAAACGTAATATCACAAAACTACAGCACATGCACGCAGCAGACAAACGCACTGATAGACGGTCGCCGCGACGCAGAACGATCGATCGATCTCTCGATTTTCGCGCGCAACAGCTTCACTCGCTAAAGCATTATTGGTCAATTCTTTAAAGTAAACTATTATCGAACGATACGCAAAAATGTAATATTTACACATATTCTTACGTACTAATTATTACGAAAACAAAACAAAAATTAATGAACGAATTTAACTATTTAAATATAATACATCTACTCTATCGCTGATGTTCAAAATTAACCTATACATACATTTATAAATATATTACATAATAAATCAAATTTTTCTCTGTTTCTTTTTTTTTTTTCATCTCTGATAAATAATAATTTCTATAAATTTTTTTATATATATTAACAGCGCTTCTTAAAAATAATATAAAAATATGTTTCATTATCTATTTTATCTTATCATTAATAAAGTATATTATTTGTTTAAATAATATTATGAATTTTTGAGATTTTGTTAGTGACTAGTATACCTAACATTCTTTAATTTAAAATGCAAAATTTTCATTCGTGTAATCTTGCATACTCACCGAAAACTTCTTACGTAATAGATATATATATATATATATATACATATACATATAAAGACAATAAAATTGTCACAAAAGTAAATATTGAATCTTCACAATAAATATTTGAAGAAGCTAGAAATACTCTGTTAACTTTTAAACAAGATCAGGGTCAAGGATAATTAAAATAATTATTTTTATTAACTAGTCGGACACTGTACTTCTCCATCGTTTGCTGCTTTCAACGATAAAATTTCTTTTAATACTTGTTTCTCCAAGTCCAACAATTCGAGTGGTTTCTTATACTAAAAATATTCAATCTTATTTTGTAATTAAACAAAATTTTCAATGATTAGCTAAGATATAATATCATACCGTGATAATAAGAGTGTTGTATTGATGAGTATACGTAATTCTATCTTGTTCAGGCTTCAAATTAATACGTTCTAAATCTGGAACTTTGATTTTCTTAAAATATTTTTTGTTGCTTGTACGTATAGTAATAGTAGCATCATTTTCCACTGTTACTGAATACACAGATATCGGATAAGGTAAATTCCTTATTCTCCATTCCAAAGCAGTTCTCGTATTTCTTCTAGTAATAAATGGCTGAAAATATATTTCTATTCGTTATTAAAATGTTTTTCGATACAACATATTAGATTCCTAAATAATAAAATCAAATAAACCTTAGTACTACAACAATACGTGGAACTCATGATATGTTTTACAAAACCAAACATGAGAACACGAGTCCTACTACTCATGGTGAATCTTAGAAACCAAACATAAGAAGCAATCATTGTATTAAAGAATACAACATGCAACAACTACATGCTTTAAATCATAGTACCAGAGATTAATTAAATAATATTGCATAAAAATGTACAGATTAATCGATGTCTGATCATATGAATGTAAACATTTTGTGTAATATAACATTTAATTGTACCTACATACAATATATAATTCTATAAATATGATTCTTAAAACGAATAATAAAATGTACATACAGTGTTGGAACTTTCCTGTATCCCAAAAGTTTCTATATTATTTAATTTAGGTTCTGGATCGCCTACTTCCACAATCCAACCAGCGTTGTTCTCAGTAAAATCTTTTTTTTCTTTCCACGCCCTGCGTACTAATACATTTGTATTCATATTATATTCTTCAACCATTTCTTTGCCATCTTCCATTAGGAAATGAACTTTCCTATTTCCTGTTTAATTATATAAAATATAAATATAAATTGAATAAAAACTGTGTATAATCTTATAAGAATACTCTTTCGCAACCACATGCTTTTTTTTTTTTGAAGATAAATTATGTAATATAAAACACATAGGAATGGATAATGTTTAATATATCAATGATTATTACTTGCAATTAAGATTTCTACTCATGATTATCATACTTTAATACAAAATTAATATTAATATTATAAATTATATTCAAATAGCTTATGACTATGTAATAGTTGACTATTGATCAAACATTTTTCAGGTTACACTATTACTCTCTCTAACACGTGAAAATACAAATCAATGTCGAAGGTAAATCATTAAAATAAAAGTTAAGATTTTCAATAAGGATAATGATAAAACATTAATACACACAAAAGTCATCTTACCATTTTGTATGATTGCAGTTTTTTTTGCATTTTGAATACGTTTTAACCATGAGTTAGTCGCCATTAGTAAATAAGCTAAATATCACGAACGTACAATATGAAAGATAGATTTGGAATGAAGATTTTTCTCCACTTCCAGTTATATGATTCGTCCTTACCGACAGTTCTTCAATAAAAATCCACAATTTATATATAATTCACAGATTAATAATTTGTTTAATAATTCGTTAAATATTAAATAAATAATATTTAGAATCATCAATCTCGTGTTACAATTATTAACTAAAAAATGAAACAAAACACATTAGACGCAGCCAATTAGCTCGGTATATTATTTACGTTTATAATAATTTATAACAAGAAGTTAGATACAAAGGAGAACGATGTACTGTGTATAATGTATCCCCAAAATATGGAACAAATAAAGTTTTATTCTAGAGTGCGCTGTAGTTGCTTAGTACATCACATGTATGCAATGCTCAATGGTTTATTGTGACGTTACTATGATTGAGGTGATCACCACGCCGCCCTAGTGGCAAAAATAAGTACAAGTAGCCCTCCTACACATGGCATCCTATAACACGGTTTCCTTACAAAAAAACATCAAAGTAAAATCATAGAGATATTACATGATGTCTCTGCATGAATATAACAAAAAACGAAAGGTTGATGTTGTCTCTCTCTAACTCATGCGGTACCGGCGCATGCGCATTAACCTCTACTAGCAGACTAATGCGCATGCGCCGCTCAGCGTAAGTTAGAGAGAGAACACATCAATCTCCCATGTTCTATCTCTTTTTATTTCGCCAACAGGTTTTATGCTGGCTTGCCTGCTTTATGTGTGTATTTCTATAAGTAAAATACATATTGCATCTTTAAAGGTCAGAATAAGATTGAATCTTTGATGTCACGTAACAATCAAATATTATGGCAGGTGTAATCTTATTGGATGTTGATTTAACCGCGTAAATGATGAAATTTCAAACATATTAAAATAATTAAATCAAGCGATTCTCTTATTCATTTGTTTTGTTTATATATACCGTGAAAGGCTGAAATTTGAGAATGTCAAGATTCACAATGTCGCTTGTCGACATATATCAAATACGTTTTTTAAAATATTAATTTTACGGACATACACCAAGCGACCATGTGAATCTTCTTGACATTTTCTAATCTCAGTTTTTCACAGTAACATATATATAAATTATTCTATATATTTAATTAATTGTAAGACTATTTATATATTCAAATTTGTCATAAAAATATATTATTTTAATTTTAAATAGAGTAATCTTTCGATGTATTTGATTGTATAATATATATATATATATATATTTGAAAAAGGTCTCTTCTTTTAGATGTAAGCATACAAACTATTGTGGTACTTTCCCCAGTGATTTATTCAATTTATTTATACAATATAGAAATTTAATGACAGATGGAGATCTTGAATGTATTTATGCGATTCCGTACAAATCTGGTTTATTTATACAATGGCAAAGCAGAGTTTTTGTTGTGTATATAGTTATCATAAGAATTTCAATGGTAAAATTCTCTGCTTGCAAAGTACGGTACAGCAAAAGGCATCCTACACCCAGTAGTATGAATATAATCGTGCATGTAAATGTTAATAAAGGACTGATTATTATAATTACTATTATTATTCTTATTATCATTATCGTTATCATTATTATCATTATAATTATTATATTATTATTATATTATAATTATTACTATTATTATTATTATTATTATTATTAATAATATAATTATTATTAATTATCGACATAAACTTTTTGTTTTCGTTTGTTGTTTAATGTTACAATATATATTCAATTATTACTTTTCTTGTATATATGTATTTATATATACAAGTAAGCATATACATAAATACATATATATGTATATATATATATGTCTTATTTAATATTTATAATATTTATAGAAAATTATACTAACTACATCGATATATACATAAAAAGGCAAATGTGAAATACTCGAACATTTTTTACCCCTTATTTTATAAAAATATCTGTATTTATTGTTTGTTCGTATTTATTTATTTTTATTTTTTATTTTTTTTTGTTAATGAATACTCAATATTGTAGCAGTACAGCTTTATATATCGTCTTTGATATACTCACAAGATTGTATTATTTCTTAAATCGTATATATAGCTTCTTATATATTACGCATATTATCTGAACAGTTTAAAAACATTTTTTCAAAGCGACATTACTGTTATGTGTGAAAAATCAATGCATTTTACAGACCAAATTTTAGATAACTTTGCAATACTTAAGAAGCAATGTCTCTTAATCATTTGCCTTTTATCACCCAATATTTTGTTTACTTTATTCTCATTTAAATGCAGATATTACTTTGCATTAGAATTATTCTCCAAAGCATAATCTTTGAACAGTGATATCTGTCTGTCTGTTGAATAATCCTCGAATGGAGCATAATTGTGACTTAAAAAAATCTTTAATCTATAGTCCATGTATTATTCGCATAATTATTTATTATATATCTTTTGTTAAAAAAAAAAAATTACTTCTTTTTATTAACAATTTACGCATATTATATTGATAAATCGTGCGAATAACGCATAGGATTTTGGCCTTTTAATGCATTTTAAATTGCAGTCATAAAATCGATGGCTTGCATTAACTAATCACACATTTCGATGAAATTGTTACATTTAATATTTCTTGATAATAATACAATTGCATCGAAATGTTATAAACCTTTTGCTTTTTTAGGGCAAAGGAATAAAAAGACAATAATGTAATCACTTATTGTGAAAGAAGTACAACAGTGCGTACTTGCACTTGGTAAAGTTACTTATTATATGTATCCTAAGTATAAAGCAGGAAGAAGAGTACTGGAATAAGAGATCAATTGCGCATCAATTAGATCGTGGTGATTCTATATAATTTCTATATAATTTACACGAAAAAGTTGAGCATTTTTAAACTCACATCAGTAATAATAAAATCAAGTCAAAAAGTAATCATCGTTATTAAGTCTGTCGTCCGTTGTGCAAGTTCATTTAACTTTTACTTTTTCTGTTCTTAGGACACTTTACCATCGTGCTTGTTTTATTCGTTTTTAACAATACGCAAATTTTCAGGGTGATAATTTAGCATACAAAGTTATGGAGGTAGTTGAGAAGTGAACACGTAAACACCTCTTTCGTAAACGATCGTACTGATGACGATAAAAAAAAAAAAAAAATAAACAAAATCATAATAATCGCTGGAACAAAAGAAGGTACACAAATAATCTTATTTCATACAAATTTTTATATATATAAATTCTCCAAATCTATATGAAGAAGACTGGTGCACATGAGAAACATCGGCCTTCAGGTTTATAGAATATTGTTTTGTTACACTCGAAACTGCTGGTTGAGAAAAGAAACATATATAATACGTATATATATATTATTATTATTTAGATTTATAATATAATAATATATATAACATTTGATGTAAGATTTATCGATAAGATATATTCAATGTAAATAACATATACGTATATGTTACGTTTGAAATTGTAGCATCTGTTTTGGTCATTATATGACCTAAATTATAAATCTTTTTTCTTGCTTGTTTCTTTTTAATTAAAATCCTCGACATTTTTAATAAATATGTACACGATAAACGTACACATTTATTTA